TTAGTTTTTAATTACAATAATCGATTATTTTTTAACTAATTTAAAAAAAAAATATTTTCTTAAACGAATTAACTTAGTTATTATCATATTGAAGCGTTGATATTATGTGAAGCAAGTGTAGTAGGTACCTGAAAATTTGAAACGGTTTAGACTCTTCATAAAGTCATGTCCATCCCATTCCCGAGTGCTGACGGGCGTTTTTGCAAATTTCCCCAGTCTTAGGTGGAACTGCAGCCCCTAAGCCCCTAAGTCCGCACAGCGTGCGATTCAGTAAACAATTATCTTTGGGGGCAGGTGGTTGAGAGGTCCTCAGACCTCGAAGCAGGATCAGTAGGTTATTAAGCGTGATGACGCATCCATCGTGATCACTCAGTGTTTCGGCAAAACGGATTCTGGCGCTCAGCTCAAATACTAGAATCTAGTACCGTTTGATAAGACATAGAATAGCAAAAAGATGCTTTTTAAGGCCCTAATCGCCAGCGAATTAGATAATCCGAGGCATTGAAGATCGTCAAAGTGACATCAAAATTACTGTCAAAGATCTTTGTGAAATTTCATTTCGGACGCTTTTCACGATATCCACCGCTATTGGAAAGAAAATGCGGGAGAAAGGTTCAATAAACGATGGTTTCTTTTTCGGGTTCAAGATTCCAACATTTGGTTCTGTATTCGATGGAAATTAAACAAATTTCAAATAGGACTTTTAGCACAAGACCACGGGGAAGCCGGATAATACCCGCTAGCTTCATTATTATTAAATTTGTTGGGCGATATAACTACTTCCTGACACCGCAAATCGATTTCTCAATATTCACAGATTTAGCCGAAAAATCCGATTAAATTGACCTTTTTTATGTACGAGACCTAAACTAAACAATTACCAAACATAATTAAATGTATTCGATTTTTTTATTTGTTGTATGATCCGTAATTTATATTAGTTTGAATTATGTACACAGGGTATTTATGGGAATTAACAAAAAGTATAAAAGCATAAAAAATGCTGTAATGGAAAGACAAAGCTGCAATCGGCAGCTAATTTGTAAATTGAGATACATAAATATTTGCTTTGCATATTTAATTACCGAGAATTTAGCAGAAAATGCGACAACGGGAATGTTGTGGTTAATGTTGCAGTTTTTGTTGTTCTGGCTTTTGTTGTTGTTTAGAAGGATCATGCTGAAGCACCTGGTCCTTAGATTGCTGTTGCTGTTGCTGAACTGGTAGCTGTTGGTTTTGCTGAGGCAAAGGCGACTGATTGTTGATTTGCTGTTGCGCTTGTTGCTGGGCGGGCTGCTGTTGCTGTGGCGCAGGCACTTGCCCTGGTTGGACAGCCGGTTGCACAGGCTGATATACAGGTTGCTGTTGATGTTGCGCAGGCACTTGCCCTGGTTGGACAGCCGGTTGCACAGGCTGATAAACAGGCTGCTGTTGTGAAGGTTGCTGTTGGCTGGGTTGCTGATAGATTAGCGGCTGCTGTTGCTGCTGATACGCTGGCTGGTGTTCTGGTATCTGTCCAGCATGCTGATATACTTGATTGGGATTCAATTGAACGGGCTGTGGCTGTCCATACTGCTGCTGTTGATATTGTTGGCCATGATTCTGTTGCTGTTGGGCATATTGTTGTTGCTGATGTTCATACTGTTGCTGCTGCTGCGCGTGCAACTGATTTGGTTGCTGGTAATGTAATTGAGCACCTTGGGATGGCGCGTGATAGGTTACACCACTTGGTGGTGGCACTGCGTAATAGCCTTGAGGCATATTGGGATGTGGGGGAAGTTGACCTTGAGCAATCATGCGCTGTACTTCCTCCTGACGTCGTCGTTCAAACTCCAAATACTCCTCATGTGAAAACTGCGGTTGTTGATCAATAGTTTCCCACTCGGGATCCTTTTGGAACTCCTCTTTTGCGGTTTGCTGCATGAACTCATCTATACTGATAAGGCCATCATGATTAGTGTCCGTTTCCTAGTTTTTAGATGTATATAAGGATTTAACATGCGTTTTAAAACGCCAAACATTTTTTATAATATACAAAATATAAGCTTACCTGAAAATAATGTTCCCGCATGCGCTCCATTTCTTCGGCCCGCTCGCGCATATCATCCTCGGGCAAATTGCTTTGGTAGACTTTGTCTAACTCCTTTACGAAAAGTGCCTTAACCTCGGCCTCGTCCCAAAAGCCGTTGCTATCAACGTCATGAATGGAGAAAAATGTTTTTGGATTAAAATCGTCTTTGTCCATGTGATCTTGTTTCTCCCAGACTTCTTCCAGTTGGGCTTTGTTGCCTGGATGATGCACTTTCTCGTGCTGTTTGTGTTTTTGTTCCTTTTCCTTTAATTCTTCTTCGAATTTCTTGCGAGACGCCTCATCCATTTCTTTTTTTTGGGCCTCCCGCTCAAATTCCTTTTGCATTTCATATTCTTTGAACTCGCCGCGTCGCTTTCGATCCGCTTCAGCCAAATCGTCAGACGTTTTTTGTATAAGCTTTCGCAAATCTTCGATTTCGAAAGTATGCTCATTGCCATGATCCAAATGCTGTGGTACTTTCAAATGTTTGCGATCAATGTCATTGCTAAGCTCAAACTCTTGGTTGGCCAATTCACGCAAACGCTCCAACTCACGTCGTTTTATCTCGTCTAGCTTTGTGCGCACATGATGATTCACATAGTCCAGTTCTTGAGCGATTTTTCCACTCTAGATTATTTGGAATTATTTCATAGAGAGGGTAATTACCGAAACAGCTGTCATTCACAGCAAAACTTACACGTATATCGGCCTCAGGTGCTTTGTCCAGCTTCTTCCTAAACTCTGGATCGGCTTCGAGTGCCTCTACCACCTCGCGCAAATAACGCTCATATTCCAGCGCAGCCTCTACGTCCGCCGGGCCAGGAGTACTGCTTGCTTCCTTGGCCTTATCCTCCTTTTTGTTCTGCGTGACAGGCAAAGCTACAACTAAAGATGCAGCTAGAACCAGCGCCAGCACGACTTTTGCCAGGGTACGTTTCATAATTACACGTGTTGCAAGTCTCTACTTCTAAATGCTTTTCAATGAAGAAAAACAATTGTGTAAATAACTTTACAAAATAAGTGTATTCTGACGTGTCTGTCTCGAAAGATCCGTGCCTTGGTATTGTTTTGTCACTGAGTGTTACCAGATGGCTTTACTAGTTTTAAGGTTTTTACTGGCACTGCATCCAAAAGTATCGATAAGACTCAAAAGGTGTTTTACACTATGGAAGCATTTACTTTTACATCCAAACAGCTGTTGAAAGACAAATCAAAGTGAATTATATGAATACATATTAAGCTCGAAAGTTGTGCTATTTAACGAATGAAATTGATATTGATCATTTGCAATTAATAATATTCTTATTTATTATTATTATTATTATTAAACCTTTGCGGACTGTATTATAATATCATCATGAAATGTGTAACGCATAGCTGGAGACATCTCCGACCCAATAAAGTATATATTCTTAATCAGCAGCAACTGCCGGTTATATAGCCATGTTCGTTTGTCCATCTGTCTGCTTCGATGCGTTGATTTCTTAGGTTTATGGCTTTCGTCATAAAACTTTGGATATGTCGGTCATTTTGATGCAGAAAGTACACATATGTACTGGATCGGACCACTATATCATATAGCTGCCATAGGAACGATCATTCGAAAATTGATTTCTATTGTTTATCAAGCTTTTTTGTCCAAGCTCGTCATTAAGTAGTTTCACTATGCTCCTTACAAACAGACGAAATTTGATATCATATAGCTGTCATTGATCGGTCGAAAAGTAGGTTCTGATATGAAACGTTTTTTTTTATCAAGATATCTTGACCGATGATCATTTTAAGTACTATTATGATTCAAGAAAAATTAAAAATTTTGCTGTTTATCAATTGCGACATTTTAGATAGAAACTATGCTGTTAAAATATGTGGAAAGCCTTATAAATCGATCTCACCGCAAGTGAATTGTACGCCCTTGCCCAATGCAGTCAATAAGTGACACATCCAGTTAAACGTCTTAATTTTTTAATATATACAAGTAATTCAAATGAATCTTTTCTCGCTCACTGCTGTATAAAATTGTTTAACACTAAATCCGAGCAGTGGTTCAGTTCCCGTTGGAAGTATTAGTTTGATGGACATATTGAATGAACAACATGAGGTGTGTTTACTTTTAATTATTTTTCTCAAAAACTGGCTGATCAACTCGTTTAGAATTAATGCCCAAGGCTTCCTAAAATATGTATCTTTAAATAGGTATAGCGTGTAATTGGGGTCATTATCCATGAGAAAATTAATCTTCAAGAACAACGTTTTTCTTACGGTCATTATGTATGGGGCTGGCAACGAGTTTGCTGCACTATTGTTCAAACATCTCAAAAACGTATAGATAAATTTAAAATTTTTTTCAAAATTGGTTAGGGCAAACTATTAGTTTTAATCATATTAATGTATATGTGATATTTGGATTCGAATTAAGTTATTTAACTATTGGTGAAAACCTAATTTTTCGACGCTTTGGTTTTCCCATATTATAAGCTGACATTCATAAACAAATACAATGAATTTTTAAATGAATGATTTCGGCCCCGGAATCAAATTAAAAAATCGACGGTAAGTGACCGAAATTTTTCTAAAAAAAAACCTCCGTATAAAACTAATGTTAAAGAACGGTTAAAAAATAAATAAATAAATTAGAGTAGAGTATATTTAGCGCCATTACCCCTGAGATAGGATAAAGGATAATTTTTTATTTCAAAATATCTTATGAACATATTTTTCAATTTGGATCAAACTTTCTAGGATACGTATAAATACAAATACTGTCCATAAAAAAGCCGAAATTCATAAATTAAATCAACGATGAGTGACCGATGTTTCTTTGACGCACATGATTCGTGTTGCCCTGGTTGGAACAATTGTCCAAATAGAACCAGTTCAATTTAATGAGCAACTGTTTTTTGTTTACTTCTAATGAAACACAGTCCTGTGCTATCAGCTGATAAGAATAATAGACAAAGATTTAAAATTTGAAATAATGGCAAACAGCGCAGCTGCAGCTGACAGTGCTGCAATCAAGAAAAAGGTGCTGAGCAGTGGAGAATATTCACGCATTTGCCAATTTATCAATGAGTTTAGCGGCGGCTTGCCGATGGATTGCGAGTTGGAAATGGTAAATCGAGTTTTCACTGACGTTGAGCCATTAGCCCTGATCTGCATATTGCAAACAGAGTTATTTAACATTGCGCGGGGTCAGCATTGGCGGCACGAAACCCGCTCCAAAAAGCTGTTAAAAACGTACGTAAAAATATGTTTATTGTTTTGACGGCTATTCATAATCTTCTAAACTTCATCACGTTTAGCTATGAAGATCAGTGCCATTTGTACAATGATAATACTCTTGTGATTCGCATTGCATGTGCGGAGAACATGAGTCCCATTGCGCTATGTCGGCTGCTTCTGCAAGAGAAATACGAACTGAAGCAAAGACCTCTAATTTCCCGATTGCTAAAGCACCCTCATTTAATTAATGATTCACGCCTGGCCGCCAACGTACAACAGTGTTTATACAGCGACAATCAGGAGGGGCCTATCACGGACCTACGACGACGGATAATTGGCGAAGAGTACGAATTGAAGCTGAAACGACTGGCTAAAGAAGCGGGCATATATTTCTATGATGAGCAAGATTTGCGACGTATGGGATATGACAAGACCCCCGATATCAAGTTGATATTACCATTTATCTACAAGGGGCTTGTAGTAAATTGGATAGAGAGCAAGGCAAATTTCGGTGATCCCAAGAGCCACAAATGGAACATTCAGCAGCAACTGCTGAGCTACTGCAACCGGTAAGTGCATGGTTTTGCCAGCTCAACCGCACTTTATACATTAATTTACTTCTTTTCAGCTTTGGACCTGGCATCATTATCTATTGGTTTGGCTATCACGAAGAAACCCCGCAGCTGCCGGATAATAATATTGGTATAACAGTGTTGGCAGATTTTCCAGCGCGCGAAGATTTAGTTTTTATGCAGTTGCCAGAGTTGACGCCTGCTGCGAGCAACACAGACATTTCTGTGGGTTAGCCTTTGAAATATTCCATTTAACCCCTTGACATACTGTTATTTAACAGTATTTATTTTTGTATTTATAAATTCTCATTTACATAAATTCTTTTTGATTTTTACAAAGTACAAAAACACATTCCTTTTTTTTTTTTGCATATATGTATAAAACTATAAAGTATAATAATTGCCCTAGAACCCAAGTGCAGTTTTCTAATAATTATTTTGACAAAGTTAAATATTTATTTTAAAGCAAATCAAGTGTATATAGTTTTTAAAGATTAGCTGGCGCCCGAGCTTGCATATTATTTCAAAATATTGATTGTTTGAATTTTTATTGTTGCTGTTTTTTCGTACTGGTAGGCAACTCGTCGTTTAGTTGATGACATTTTATACTTGTTATACTTATCATTGAATCTTACAAGTCTTTTAGCTCCTCGGGCATGTCGTTTTTGGGATGCTTGTTCTCAAAATGCTGCTTGTACGTTTTGGGATCCGGCATTTGTGACTGTGTAAAAGATTTGTTGTGTTAATTAACTTAATTTTCAAAACATGTTTAGTATACTTTGTACGCTTCTTACTTTGCACAGGACGCAAACATGAACCAGTGCTTTTTGGGCCGCCTTCTTTTGATCATTGGCACTATGACCCTGCTGTTTCTTCATCTTTGCTTGCTTCTCAGCGGCTTTGGCTTGCGATTGTATTTTCTGATGACCGCGTGCCATTTCAAAGCTGTTGCTTTATTTAACCCTACAACGACAACGGTTTTTATAAACTCAAGTGCTGCCATTATTGGTTAAACATCAACAATAATTTAAGTTTTTTGGTTTTTTATTTTTCGTAATTAACAATGCTGGCTCAACTGTGTGTTATGAACTGCAGTAACAAACGCAGACAGTTGGCATTTGGCAATTGCAGCAGCATTAGCGATACAGCCTGTACTTTCTCTTTCGCTTTGATGATGGAATAATGAAGTTGTGGCATAAAGTGTTGTTGCTTTTTAATGATTATTTACGATTTATAAAAATCAACCGCAAGACGTTATCAGAAAGATATTGCCGCAAATACGTCTTGGCCGCCACCCCCAACCATATTTTTTAACACGTTTCTGCAATTTCAGCGACCACGTTCTATTTTCTCACCTAATTATAAATTTGGTAGTGCGTTGTGCGCCAAATGCAATTGATGACAAACTTATAAATTTGTGAAATTTACAAACTAGGTTTTTTTGATACCCGAAATTATTGACACTTGTTTAGAGTTTAATTTCCGTAGCGTAGTTTGTTTTTTTTTTATGGTATTACGAATTGTGACCCCTGCTTTTGTTGTGTTAAGTGTTGTGTAGCGATTTATCGGTTTAACGCAATGATTAGTTGGCTTTCCACCACAACTTATCGGACTTCTGATAACATCTCGGTATTCTACAGGCGAACGGCCGTTTTATTATTAAACAGCACTGAATGTTTCTTTTAAATGTGAGAAGCACATTTAATTGACTGTAAATATGCCATATTATGTATATACACACTTATTTCATACAAACTATAAAAATTCAAACAAATGTTTTAGTTAATCATTGGGGTATTCCAGCTTACCCGGCCTCGTGAGTACACGCGCAGAATTTCGTATTTTTATACCCTGCATTCATTGAAAACGAAAAGAAAGGGTATAGTGGATTTTTCTAAATGTATGTAACAGGCAGAAGTAGGCATCTCCGAAATAGCCGAGCCGATGTAGCCATGTTCGTCTGTTTGTCCGATCGCCCGTCTGTATGGATGCATCGAACCTATAACAGCTAGAGTCTTCAAATTTTGAATGTAGGTCCTCATATGGCCCCGGCAGATCGGCATAGACCGGCATAGACAACTCAGACCTAGATACTGTAAACTTGGTGTGTAGGTGTTGGTATAATATATACAGATAAAAACAAGATAGGCTGCTCTTCCCGGGAGTGACCGACTAGGAAATACACCGAACCTTCTTCTACCATAAACATACGCCGGACCGATTTGAAACCAAGCTGATCTGCGCGTGCCACAAATACACGTTGGTATTTTTAAATAGTTTAATGGTGTAGTTATAAAAATAAGATCGGTTACGTCAACTTATGTTTCGTAAAAGTACGTATTTAGTTGATTCAATTTGGATGTTCATTAATCAATAAACACTAAGATACACATACTAAGATACACTAAGTAACCAATAGTGGTAACTAAAACAATTAAGAGGCTCTAGTCGGAGGTTCCTGACTAGGGGATACCCTAAGCCCTTTTCTACCAACACCAAATTCACCAACACCAAACGAATTACAATAGCGAACATACACAAAGCACAGAATACAACACAATCACGATTCCAATGCTGCCTGTTACATACACATTCACAAAAACATTATAGCCTTTTTCGATGTGTTCAGGCTTTAATTAGCTCGCTTTATGCGCCATTTCCGCCCGTCCAACTGTTTGTTTCTATGAAAACTAGTCTCTCAGTTTTAAAGCAATTGTCTTGAAATTTGGCACATGTCCGTCTTTCTGTTGCAGGCAGTACATATGTCGGATCGGATCGCTATATCACATAGCTGCCATACGAACTATCAGCCGAAAAGTAGGTTTTTGTTTATAAATTTGTTTTGGTTCATCGAGATACATATCTTGACCAAACCCGGCATTTACAAATAAAACTAACATGCTTATCAATACCGCATTACTCTATTATATATCTGTATAGGATGGATCGGTCCAAATATTAGTTTTTATATGGAACAATTTTCCTTTTTTTTAAGATATTTTCATCAAACACAGCACTCACAATGTTCACCATTCTCACATATTTGCGTAACAAAGGGTATTAAAACTTCGATGTGCTGGGATCAACTGAATTGAGTTGAATCTGTTTATAGTTTACAAGAGCTACATACCCAATTTGATCGCTCTAGCTCTTAAAGCCAACGTGATATTGATATATTCAAATTTTCAAGTATTAAGCTGTTATTGATTTTTGAATCGCCGCTTTCATACATATCTGTATGTTCGGATTTAACAGACAGGATACTCCTAGATTGACATATGATTGTTATGGCTTTGGAGATTATTCATTCCTGTCTGTTACACACATTTTCGCAAAACAAATTTACCCTTATGTCTATGAGTTTAGAAGGCCAATTGCGAATTCTAAGGCGGTCAGATCTGCTGCATGCCAATGTATGCTGTGTTAGAGACAGTGCGCCTTAAATAAATTGGTACTGCACTGATCAGTCGCAGACATAATTAGATCAATCAACCTTGACTGGCGGTGAGAAATCCTATGAACTATGTCATCAGGGAGAAGATTATTACGATAAAATTCAAAGAAAGACGCACACTGTCAATTATTTTCAGGCTGAAGTTGGCGGGAATTCAATAATTTCAGTTTCTCTTGCATTTTTAACATATTTATTTAAATGTATGTATACTTCTAAAAAAAGCTTTATTGGTAAAAACTTAACAAGGTATAAAGGTATAAAAAGTTAGACTAACATGCTTGCATTATTGTCGCAAAACTCGTAAATATTGTCAACGAACTGCATTTCATGTGGAATGCCATCAACTTGAGCTGTCTCCTTATCCTCTGCCAACGTCATTCGCTTAAGGTTGTTTATCAGCGAAATGTCCTGTTTTATCTCGTTCTTTAGCTCGAGAAGCTCGTGCTCCGTTTTAATAATATCCTCCGCATAGGCTTCAATATTTTGCTGCAGCTGACCCACGGAAAGGTCCATTTCCCTACACCTATACCGCTCGTTTTGCAGTTTAAACTGCCTGCACTTGTGTGTTAGCTGGCGCGTAAGATTGTATTCTCTCTCGTATCTCACATTCATCTCTGCGTGCAGCGCAGCCAGTTTATTGCGCAAGCTGTTGCGCAACGGCGCATCCTTGCGGCGCCGTCTAATGCAATGGCTGCTGACAAATTTATCGGAGGTGGTTATTTTTTCGCGATTGCTTTTTCGATGTTTTGTCGTCAACTCGCAGCTGTTTAGCTGGACCTTGACATTGCGGTTGTAGTTCTCGTAATGCTGATCGGGAAGTAGGACCAGTAGCACTTCGTCGAGCATTTCATTTTTTTTTTTTGGTGGCAACCAGTTTTCCCTGATTTGGTTGGCCACTTTGGCTGATGGTTTTTTGGCATATGTTTTGTGCTTATTCTTGCTGCCAAAGTGCAAAAGTCTTTTCAGCCACTTGAGCATTGAAAATCCGTTAGAGGCGGGTGCAGTTAATTCCCCATACTGAGGTGGCAGCGATTCCTTGAACTGATGACGTTGTTTGAGCGACAGGCACAACTGTAAAGAGAAACAGTATATGTAAATATAAGTCGAAAATATATTTTAAGCGCTCTATAATAATTACAATACTATTAACCCAAAAAAGCCCCACAAAATTAATAATTACTTTGAATAGAGAGAGGGCACAATCACCTAAATTACCCCACAGCCCCCCAGCAAAAAAAAACATTACCTTTAATATTAAAATCGATAGGTAAGTTTTGTTTTCACTAACGATGCATAATCAAGTGAAATACCATTTAACTGATACTTATGTACATATATACATATAGGTATATACGTACACATACTATATACTTTATAGTATACATGGAGTACAGGCCCATACAGTGGAGTGACCAGCGGTCGGGAGGTGGTCGCTTCTAAGCACCTATTTCGCATTTCTGGTCGCGTGCAGCGCCAGACGGGCGGGCAGACACGAAGCAAAACAAAAAACGCTTATTATGCAATCACTGTCGACTTTTGTTCCTGCATTTGGGCCTAGTTTTTGCACGGCATGTGGGCAGGATATGATGCTTGTGCGCAGGGGGGCTAGGGTAAAGTGTGGGTTTATCGCATATTACCTCATTGTGCACACGGCTCCAAGCGCGCCAAACAGGCAAAATGGCCATGTTGCCATCGTAGCTGCGCTCGATACCACGCCAACGTTCCGTTATAACGAAATCGTTGTAGTCACGCAATGCTGCTCCTGAGCCATGGTCGCCATCTTGTTTTTTGGGGGACAGCGCAAACGTAACGAAAATAAAAAGGCACAATAAATATTTGTTAAAACACACACTAATAAGAGTACTCTAGTCGAAAGTGCCCGACTAGGAGATGCCC